CATTACATTATCTTTATATAAGGCAGGGTCGCACTGTGGCCTTATTTTTGTTATGTCGCGTCATAAGTTGTCCCATAAATATGTCGCGACATTTACACCACGGGAGTCTTGGAGGTCGCACGTGCGCAACATAAATGATATTTGAAACCAGACTGTCAACTCTTTATATTTCACGCGCGAAAAGAGCACCAAATATAATTTTTAGACATGAGGCTGGTGCTAGTTTTATTAGCGACATTTCTTTAATCTCTTTAATTTGTTCAATGTACAAAACCTTATTGGGTTGTACACATTGTACAACATTTGCCAACGGCAAATGTAGGCCCTTGCCGCTTTAAACCGACGTCGACAGAATTTAGATTCTGGTGTTAACCATGGCCACGACAATCATGGTTCGAGATCCATTATAATGATCACCACATTCCTGATGACTTCTTTATACAGCAGCTCCGAGTTCAAAGAGCAACTTTTAATCAGCTTTTGAACCTCGTAAGTCCACATGTCGCAAGACAAGATACATCTATGCGAAGCTGTATTCCAGCAGAAAAGATTTTGGCGATAGGTTTATACAGATTAGCACATGGGAATTCATATGTTTGCATTGCTCCCGTTTTGAATGTCTGGAAATCCACGGTCATTGAAGCAGTACAAGATGTCGTGAACGTTTTATACGATCTGCGAAATCGTTACATCAAGTTCCCTACTACAATCCCGGAGATGACTGAGTGCATTGCAACTTTTGAGAGAACCAGATCCGAGTTACCAAACGTTGCAGGTGCTATAGATGGGGCACATATCCCAATCATCGCGCCCAGAGAAGATGCAGTTGACTATTTTAGTCATTACCAGCAGCATGATATGATTGTTCAAGGGATTGTAGATGGTACTGGGAAATTCATTGACGCAGTTGCAGGATTGGGAGTGCTCATGATGCAAGGGTTTTAAGAAACAGTAACATTTACCAAGAGGCTGAACAGGGAAACATTCTACAGGCTCCACGGATAGATATTGATGGGAATGATATAGGTCCATGCCTAGTTGGAGATAGTGCTTCTCGGCTAACACCCTGGCTCATAAAGCCATTTCCAGAGGGAACAAATGATCCCGATGAAAAAACCTTCAACAAAGAGCTAAGCAGGGCAAGAGTTGTTGTAGAGCATGCCTTTGGAATTTTAAAGGGACATTGGAGAGTGCTACAAAAACGCCTAGACAGCTCCCTCAATTTTGCCATCAAGATTACTATTACATGCATTGTTCTTCATAATTTTTGTATAGAAGCTAATGATGACTGGGATGATGATGACGACGACGGCCCACCCAACAACGATGGAAACAATAATGTAGTTGCTGGAGATGCCGATGAAACAGTTTATTTTTTATTTGATTTACAAAATTAAAAAGTTAAGTATGATTGTACTTCTGTCTATTTTTTCAAACTCGTGTCGAAAATGCACCAAAGACACGTTCCCTGATTAATCAACTCTTAATCGACGGATACAATCCAGGTATAACTAAAGCATCAACAACTCGACCGTGTGCAGGATTTCTCAACCAACTAGAAAAGAAACGTGATACCTTGGAGCACAAAGTACATTCTGGGAAATTGATTGATTGGAGACATTTGCGGTCATGACAAAAACAACAATAGCGAAACTAAAAACAACTTAAGGCATTGTTCACGGTTCCCGACATACTCCCCCATATGACTTGTAGGAAACGAGGCATATGTAACACACGGAACTGATTGAAAAATGCTTCTCAAAGAAAATCAGCAATCAAGAATAAAATATTAACGTTCTTTCAGTTCAGTTCAAGGTTCTTTATGTAATGTTTAGCCCAGCTCCTCCTCCTTAGCCACTTCTTGCATTCGAAGGCTGGCTGCAACTGCTGCATCTCGTCTAGGTCTGAACACAGGTGCTGTAGGGTCACACGACAGTTCCAGGGGATAGAGGTGCTGGATAGGGCGTTCGAGGTGTGATCGGCCTGCTCGCAACCTTGCACCTCGAATTACACCATCTCTTCCTTCAATAAGCTGCTCGACAATACCAAGAGGCCAGCAGTTTCGGTTCCGCTCAGGAGACTGGATGATGACTACATCTCCAACAGCAAGGGTATACTTCTTGTCACCGTGTTTAAGACGATGGCGCTCACGTAGTGATCGCAGGTACTCGCCCGTCCACCAACGCCACAATGCATCTTTAGTTTTCAGCAAGGACTTGGCACGCCTCCGTAAATCTTTGTTATCCAGCTGGTGTGGCTGTAATTTGGGCAGGATATTGGTGTTGAAGAACAGAAACGTGTTTGGCGTCAATGTAGGAAGTTGAACATCTTCCTCTTGGTAGCACAGCGGACGCTTGTTAAGGGTCACGTCGACGTCCAAGATAACTTCGCCTAGCTCCTCCCAGCTGAGCTGTCCTTGACCAACTGTCTTGTAGAACGCTGACTTCATTAACCCGATCAGTCGCTCAAATTGTCCGCCCCACCAGGGTGCTCGGCTGAGGTTGAACTGCCAAATGATGGATTGATCACTTAGGAACGAGTGGAATCTTTCATCTTTCTGTACTATCTTTAGCCACTTGGCTGCAGCGACAAACGTTTGACCGTTGTCCGAATAGATCTTAGATGGACGTCCTCTTCTGGCAATTAATTGCTTCAGACTCTTGATGAGCTCTGTAGTCTCCAAACTTGGCAGTAACTCCAGAAACACTCCACGGGTTAGGCTGCAGGAGTACAACACCACATAGGCTTTTTGCTCTTCCTTGTGCTTGTCACGGTATTTCCCAGGTCCAGCAAAGTCCACGCCTATCACGTTGAAGGGCCTGTTACCTTCCGTTCTTTCTCTTGGCAGAGGTGCTGGTGGCAGATTTGCAAAGGCCACGGCTTGAAAGCGTTTGCATCTGCTGCATTTTCTCGCGACTCTCTTTGTCAATTTCTGAAGACGGGGTATCCAGAACTCCTCTCTTACTCTCGCCATGGTTAGACCAACTCCCCCATGGAGTGTAGTGACATGAGCTTGTTGCACTATCTTCGCAGGTATATTGGGTACTCGCCCTGGATCTGTCCTCGTCATTCCAACACCCCCTCTTCACTAGGCTGCAGGTTCAGTTGTTCTTGGTCTTGGTCAAATTTGGCGTCACTCATACCTGTAGTTGTGCTCTCTTGACTAGGAACATCTGACATTTCTTAACCTCAGCTGTAGTCAGTGGTCCCTTGGTCTTGCTGGAGGAGTTCCGTGAATTATGCAGGAATCGCATGACCCAAGTACCAATCCTCACGGCCTTACGCAGTTCAAACTTCCATAGAACCAAATCAAAATCATCACAGGTCTCGACTCCAGTCGCAAACACTTCTTGCCGGAACTTTCGTTCTGCCTTAGTTTCAGGGCTTGGTTCTGGAATTATGTTGTCTGGCCACTTGGCAGGTTCTGAGAGCCAAGCAGGTCCATCCCACCACAGTTCTGCGCCTACTACACTACCACCACGGCTCCCAAGATCGGCGGGGTGGTCGGTTGACGGAACATGACGCCACAGCACTTTTGGGTGAGACTGGATTTTACTGACACGATTCTGCACAAACTGACGGTCCTCCCCTTTATCGGCAATCCAGTGTAAGGCAACGGAACTGTCCAACCGGCAATGGTCGCTGGTCGCAAGGGTTAGTCCCTCAAGTGCTTGAGGTACATTAGCGATTAGATTGACAGCCACGTGACCTGACACAAGCTCCAACCGAGGAATCGTAAGACCTTGTTTCGCTAGACAGGACTTCGCAGTCACCAGCCCTTGTGATACGACCGCTAGCATCACCAAATGCATGGAGCTGAATCTCATCGATTTCTTCTTGGTAGAGAGGAATACTGCGTCTCACCGACACTACCTCGGGTAGGCTTCTCTCCCACTTTTTCCATTTTTTCATGGTCTCTTCTGACAAGGGGGCATCCCAAGCATTCTTCTCGATGCAGGACTCTGTACAAAACTTTCCCGTCAAGCATGACAGGTGACACAATTCCAAGTGGGTTGTACACTTTAGCCAAGTTGGTCAGGATACCATACTTCGTTTGCTCGCCTGGTGTTGCAGGAAAACACACATGCAGAGTTTCCTCGACCTTGTCCCAACCAACGCCTAGGAGAATGCACGGTCTCCTGGCCGGTGTGTTCTCTAGCTGCTCCTTGGCAAATGATGGCTCGTAGTCTTCACAGGCTGTCTCAAGCTCTTTCCTGCTCGAATGCCATTTGTCCAGTTTGAATTTGGCATCAGCGAAGATCTCGGTAGCTTCTCCCTTTAACTTTTTTGCCTTTTCGATTGTAGGCCCTCCGGAGAGAAGGTCGTCCACGTACAGGCTCTTACGGATTTCGTTCACGGCATCAGGATATGTGGATAGCAGATTCTCTAGGTGTTGCTGGATCACTCCATTGAGAAGGAACGGCGAAGGGGCGAGGCCAAACACCACTCTAGTGAAACGCAGCGTTTCAACTTGCTTGGCACTTGTCCGCGATCCAGTGAAATCGTAGGGCATCTCTCTCAGTTTCTCAGATTCGCACTTGTAGGAATACACTGCGAATGTCGCCAGCCACTACCACAGGATGGAATCGGTTTCGAACAACGATACTCCACAGCTTGTTTTGTAAAGGAGGTCCAGCATGGAGGCAATCGTTCAACGGCGGGGCTTTCTCTTGTGCACATGCAGACGCGTCGCACACCACTCGCAGTTTTGTCATCTCAGCATTTCTTCTCACAACGGCACGATGGGGTAGAGAGAACTCTCTTCCAGTAACTTCAGCAGGTGCTCGCTCCACTACGCCTTCTTCCAGCTGTTCTCTGATCACAGTGTCATACTCGTTTAGCAGATCAGTCTTCCTCAGCTTCCGTACAAGAGTGTTTAATCTGCGCAAACTTCCTTCCCTGTTGTTTGGTAAGGGTGGACAGTTTCCCTTCCAAGGGAGCCCAGTTTTGTACCATCCTTCTGGAGAACGAACTAACTGTTCCTTGAAGCCGTCATAAACAGCATTCTGATCTCCAGTTGCAGAGTCCGCCAGTCAAGGGCACACAACTTCTCATAGTCAGCATTAGAGTTTACAGCTAACAAGGCAGGCGATAAGCCACTATCGGCCCCAGGTGACATAATTGTCCATCCAAATTGGGTGAACTCAGCAACAGGATCTCCTCGGCGTCCTACTTGTAACCGCTCCCCAGTGTGTATCTTGGCAAAGTCATTGGCTCCCAATATCATGTGAATGGGTAGCATTTTCTTCGTGTCATCATCATCCATTCGTACTCCCTTGAGGTGTGGATTTGCTTCAATTATTTGCTCGTAGCAAGGATTCTCCAAGACCAATAACTCTCTCTTGTTTACTTTTGTAATGTCCACGCCAAGCTTAAAATCACCGGAGACAGAACTTATGACCACATCAAATACTTGCATCGTTCTTGTTGTGATACCTGTCAGCATGGCAATATGATTTGTCGCATAATGACGTGTGATGCCGGGCGTTACAATTTTGGCATGTCGATTTGCTTTTGCAGTCTTCCGCTCTGTGCTTTGATCCTGTGCAGTTGAAACATAGACGCTTCTCGAGAAAGATCTTCTTTCTCTCCACCAAATTCAGGACCTTATCACAATTGATTGCATTGTGGTCCGGGCTTTCGCAAAATAAACAACCACGGGAGGTCTTCGCATCGTGATCACCATGTTGGGAGTAAAATAATCTCGATTTTTCTCTCTTCTCTTGATAACCTCCCATATTCTTGGATCTTGGAGCTTCAGAGAGTGGATTATTCAAAGTCCATATCTCCAGCACTTCCAGGAACTGCGTAAAAGACCACTCGCTCCATTGCTCGTCAATCATCGCAAGTTCATTCTTTATGACCCCCAGCTTGTCAAACGTAGATCTTACAGCAGCGTCCAATTTGTGTAAGCTTTCCAAAGTCCGCAAGGATTCAACGTTAAATAGCAGAATCTCATAGAATTTGTGGATCTTCCTTACGTCCCTTTCTTTGATCGTAGGGAGTTCCAGGATGTTCCGCACGTAAGTTCCCACCACTTCACTGGTTTTTCCGTATCGTTGCGCAAGTAAATCTTTAGCCTTCTGATAACCTTTGGGTGTCGCCGATCAAATTACGTACCTTCAAAACCAGCAATTCTTTCAAATAAGAAATCTTGGTTACCGCTGGGGCTGACAATTTGTCAATTTGCGTCTCAAATTGACCCCAAAAATGCATCCAATCTTGAGGCGTCCCATCGAATTTAGTAATTACAAGCTTCGGCATTTTAACAACATCGCTAGTCGCTCTGGCGGTTTCCGTCGGCTTCTTTTGTGCTTGTTGCAGGTCGAGTTTCTTCTGCTCAAAGGCCAGCTCTTCTGCGTACGCACGCTCTTTCGCTTCTCGTTGTTGCTCGATCTTTTCGTTCTCTAGCGCGACGACCTGCTTGTGCTCAAAGATGACGGCTTCATGTTTTGATTTCCGATTGATCTGCTCTGCGTCTAACTCTGCTTTTTCCTTTCACATGCTCATTCAACGTCCCTTCGTGGTTGCCAGTTTGTCGAAAACGCACCAGACACTCAACAATCAACTCTTTTAATCGACGAATACAATCCAGGTATAACTAAAGCATCAACAACTCGACCGCGTGCAGGATTTCTCAACCAACTAGAAAAGAAACGTGATACCTGTGCTCCGGAGCACAAAGTACATTCTGGGAAATTGATTGACTGGAGACATTTCCGGTCATGACAAAAACAACAATAGCGAAACTAAAAACTACTTAAGGCATTGTTCACGGTTCCCAACACTCGATCGCCACTTGTCTCATGATTTCTGATGCTTACTAACACGAAACTTTGATATTCCATTACGCTAAAATGTGCCCAATCATTCAAACATGTCGCTATAATCAGTTTATTTTGAATCGTTTCATGGAATCATCTGATATTTGAAAATAAAACTCACTGTACTTTAAAATAATAATGATCATATAACATATCAATATGTAATGACAAGAAATCACTGCATTAAATTGCATTTTAACAGTAACAAAATAATGGTTTGTGTGTTCAATTCATTATTCAGACAGTTCATTCCTTTTTATTATTTTTCATATACTTATTAAAACAGCCACCAAGTTGGGACATGAGCTGAAGTTGCTGTCCTTGCGAATCTTGCATCCGCTCCATAAAACTAGCCATTTGTTCCCCTTCAGTGGCAAGCTTTTTGATGGCCTCACCAATTGTATCATCTTCGCTGTCGCTGTCATGCACGCGAGCAGGCCGCTTTTGACCCTTTACTTTTTTTCTTTTGCGTCTTCTTGCCACTGAACTACCAGCGGTTGTAGGGGTGGTGCGACCAGCCGAACTGGAACTGCTCAATGCTTCAGCAGCACTTGTTTCTGGACTATTCGCCGAGCTTCCACTGTTTTCTGCAGCCTGCGTGCCAGCTTGCTCCACGTTGTTAGACGTGATGATATCACGGCAGCCAAGGACAGAATCAATTATGTCGTAATTAGGACTTTTGCGCAAATTTCCCCCACTTTGCCAACGATTCCAGTCCTTCTTTTCTTTGTACTGGTTCTTCAAATGCTTAACTTTGCGCTGGTACTGGTCGACGTTTTTCTTTAGGCCTTGTCTTTCGTTCAGCGCCTTGCAAATTTCCTCCCAGGCTTTGCGGCTATCTTTGCTTTCCACTTTTTCAATATTGTCAGCCCAAAGCTGCAATAGAACTTTTTCGTCAGCGAAACTCCATCTCTCCCTTTGATTGGACTTCTTTGCTTCACCTGAGGCAGCTGAAGGGACTGGTGATGGCTGGATTGGCTGGCGATGTTCAAAAGCCCGGTCAAAAGACGGCTGCAAGCTCGAGGTTGAAGTCGATGGCTGCGAGTCTTGGGAAAAATTCTGCGAGCCAAAGGGTGCGAACAATCCATCCCCATACTGCGAATAATCAGGTGAATAACGTAAATTCGTAAACTGGTATGGGTTGAAATTCGCCATAATAAAACGTTTGAAGAGAACACCGGTGACTGAAATTTTAACCCTATAGCTGTAGCTAGCAGTGCACACGTGTTGTCTTTGCAGAATTGCA